AGGAGCAGGAGGTCCCTTCCCAGGGTGGCCCCCGGGGGTGGCCGGACCAGGGGCCCGTCCAAGGAGAGCACGGAGGGCGGGGAGCGCCGGGGCCGGCCCGGCTTCCTCTTGATGGGGGGTGGGCAAGGGGCCAGGGAGGCGGGCAGCAGGGGTGGCAGCTGAGTGGGAGCCCGCGTCTGGGCCCGCAGGACGGGCACGGGCAGTGCCAAGGGCAGGGGGAGAGGCAGGGGCAGTGGGAGGGGCAGCCCCGTCTCCAGGAGCACCGGGGAGGCCAGGGGCCCGGAGCGCTCGTCGCGGCGGCCGGTGGGGAGTGGGCAGACGGGCAGCAGCAGGGGCCCGCCAGGCTCGGGGAAGGGGGGCGTGAAGCTGAAGTCCCGGCCCGGTGTCCGCGGGAGGCCCCCGGTGCTCAGGCTGGGGGACTGGGCCGGGTAGGAGAAGGGGCTGCCGGGCACCTGCGGGGAGCTCAGCGACAGGCCGCTGCTGCCCCCCGACAGTGGGGGCTCCCCGCCCGGCGTGGCTGGCACCGTCTCCGTGCTCTGCGACTTGGCCAGGCTGCCACAGAGGCCCGGCGTGCGTGGGGGCTGGTCCTCGGGGGGAGGCTCCAGAGGGACGGACGGGCGTGGGGGCTCGGTGGCCTCCGGCTCCGGTGGCGGGCTGGGTGGCCGCAGCGGCCGGGGTGGCGGCAGCGGTGGCTGCAGAGGCAAGGTGAGCATCGGGGGCGGCTCGGGTTCCACTTCCAGGTCATCCTCTGCAGAAAGGCGGCAGAGACACACCGTTAGCATTTGATCCAGACACCTCTCGGGGTCCTGTTATGCACCTGGGTCCTGACTGGCTCCTGGCCCACCGGGTCCGCCGGCGTCCTGTGAGCACGCAGACTGTCCCCCTCCAGTGAAAGCCCTCACGCAGTGCTCAGGGTCAGGCCCAGTGCAGGCACACAGGAGGTGCTTCCTAAGTGTGGCTGGGCTCAATCCAAGAAGCAGGAGGCGTGGAGGCTAGACTCTCGCCCTGTGTCATCAAAACAAAGTTCCTGTGGTCCAAGAACATTTGCTCTGTGAAGAAATGCAATCTAACAAGTCTTGTTTCTGCGACACTTGCCAGAGCCTTCAAGGTTTCCCCCAGCCTTTACCTCTACAGTCACAGAACACACTTTCAAATGTATCTCTTGTCATCTTTCACCCTGCCCTAGAATGTAAACTCCATGAGGGCAGATTATTGTGTCCACTCGTGTACTACTAGTGCTCAAACTATACAGGGGACAAAACAGAGGCTTAACATCAAGTCCATAGTCAAAGACTGTGGCTCGTGGCTGAACAAACAAAACGGAAGAAACGTGGTCCCTCGGCAGACACGGGAGATTCATTCTACGACTCCTGCATATCCTGAAATCTTCACACACTCAAGTCCCGCAGTGCCCGCAGCCCTCATCTAGCCCAGAGCCCCAAGGCTTCCCACCGAAGTGACCACGGACACCCGGCTGGTCCTTTTGGGAACATCCCAGGGGATGGATGGTCCCAGGACCACACCACCAGGGGGACACCACAGTGAGGAGCGAGAGGAGCACCGGTTCCCATCTGGACATGACCACGGAGGGCCAGACTCAGTGCCAGCTCCTGGCGTGTCATCTGTCTCCCTGTGATCCCACCGTACAGAAGAAACTGAGGCTTGGGAGAGTGACATGACACACCAGAGGGAGCGTGCTGGCTCCGGGGTGAGGACAGCCTGCCTCCCTCCCTCCCACGTCCTCCCGGGGGTGGGGACGCAGGTGTTACCTGGAGCTCGCTCAGGGGATGACGGGGGTCGGGCCTCCACCTCTGTGACAGGGGGCTCCGGCGACAGCAACATGTCCCCTTCCTGGCTCAGGCCTGGCTCCTCGGGGGGCTCCTTGGAGGGCTCCTTGGAGCCCCCCGGCTCCTCAACACCCACAGGCAGGGGGGGCTCCTCCAGCGTGGGGGTCCGCTCCTTGGGGGCCTCGGCCTCAGCTTCGACGTCCAGCTCCTCTTCTAGGCCCAGTGAGTCCATCACAGGTGCCCCTGTGGCCAGAGACGCCGCCTTCCTGTCCTCCTCAAAGTCCTCAGGGCCTGCGGGAGCCACGCTCTCCTCAGCCACCATCACCTCCTCCTCCTCTTCCTCCTCTTCCCCTGCCACCACCTCCTCTTCATCCTCCGAGGACGATGAGGAGGACTCGGAGCTTGACTCAAACTCAGAAGACTCGGAACTTTCGCCGGACGACGCGGCTTCAGCCTTGGAGGTGGCGACACTGACCGTCTCCTCTGGGGGGGGGGGGAGCACAGAGGAAGAGCGGTTTCGCCACCTGCTGTGCCACTGAAGGCCTCAGACTACTGGCAGTTGGGGCTGAGCAGGACCCTCAGACGGGTGACTCAGGGGAGGGGTGCTGACCAGTCATCAATTAAAAAAGACGACTGAGGCGAAATTCACATAACAGAAAACTGTTCATTGCAAAGTGAATATTCCAGCAGCATTTAGTACATTCATAATGGGCAACTCCCGCCTCTGTCTATTTCCAAAACATTTTCCTTTTTCTTTTTTATTTACTTATTTTTTTTTGAGTCGAGTCTCACTCTGTCGCCCAGGCTAGAGTGCAGTGGTGTGCTCCCGGCCACTCTAGCTTCGACCGGCTGGGCTCAGGTGATCCTTCCTCCTCAGCCTTTCAAGTAGCTGGAACCACAGGTATGTGCCACCACACCCGGCTAATTTTTTTTTTTTTTTAATTTTTGTAGAGCTGAGGTCTCGCTATGTTGCTCAGGCTGGTCTCAAATCTCTGAGCTCAGGCAATCCTCTAGCCTCTGCCTCCCAAACTGCTGGGATTACAGGCTTGAGCCACCCTGCCCAACTCATTTTCTTTTGTTGTTTTTTTTTGAGTCGGAGTCTCACTCTATCACCCAGGATGGAGTGCCATGGCATGCTCACAGACACTGCACCCTCAACCTGCTGGGCTCAGGTGATCTTTCCATTTCAAACTCCTAAGCGGCTAGAACTACAGGCATGCACCACCAAGCCTGGCTAATTTTTTAATTTATTGTAGAGATGATGTCTAGCCAAGTTGCCCAGGCTGGTCTGAAACTCCCGGGCTCAGGCAGTCCTCTCACCTCTGTCTCCCAAAGTGCTGGGATTACAGGCGTGAGCCACTGCGCCTGGCTTTATTTCCAAAACATTTTCCTCAGCTGACGAAGAAACCACATACCCTTTTAGGGTACCCCTTTCCCCATTCCCTTCCCCAGCCCTGAGCCACTGCTGATCTGCTCTCTGCCTGGATGGATGCACCCACGTGGCACATTTCGTGTATTTTAACAGGTTAACATTTCAAAAGTGTAACATTTTTTTTTTTTTGTCTCACTCTGTTGCCCAGGCTGGAGTGCAGTGGCATGCTCATAGCCACCCCAGCGTGGACTTGCTGGGCTCAGACAATCCTTCCGTCTCAGCCTTCTGAGTAGCAGGAACTACAGGCACATGCTATCATGCCTGGCTAATTTTTTGATTTATTGTCGAGACAAGGTTTCACCCAGTTGCCCGGGCTGGTCTCGAACCCGCGGGCTCAAGCAATCCACTCGCCTCGGCCTCCCAAAGTGCTAGGATGAGAGGCTGAGCCACCGAGCCTAGCCAAAAGTGCAACGCCTTGCCCAAAAAGTATTTCTGGCGACTGCTCGGGCAGAGGGAGCCCGGGCGGGGCCGTTGGCTGCGGCCCCCACCCCCCTCCCCACTCACCTCCGTCTGAGTCCCCTTCTTCCTTCTCACTCGCCTCCGACAGGGCTGTGTCTTCCTCCTCGTCCTCAGACGCGTCCCGGTCGTCGCTGTCCTCGTCATCCTGGGGGAAGGGAAGGAACAGGATGGGTGAGCCCAAGGGCCCAGCCCCCTCACTCGGCCCAGCAGCACCCGGAGGTCTCCCAGCCCCAGGGCACCTTATCTGATGTGGATGAGGTCGAGGAGGAGGAGATCGGGCTCCTGGGGCCTTCTTCCTCCTCTTCCTCCTCCTCCGCTTCCTCCTCCTCCTCTTCCTCCTCGGCGCTCTCCTGCTCCTCCTCCTTGTCGGAGGCCGAGGATGAGGGTGAGGTGGTCGAGGACCCCGACGACGAGGAGGCCGACGAGGATGAGGACACAGACAAGGACTCCTTCTCGTCCTCCTCTCCGCCGCTGTCCAGCTCCAGGGGCCGCGCCGGCCGCCGCCGCACACCCACGCCCTTGGGGTCCCGCTTGGCAAGCTCGCAGGGGGGGTCCGCCAAGTCGCGGTCCCGCTCCCGCTCGGACTCTGGGGAGAAAGGGGTGTCAGGCCAGGCTGGGGGACGGAAGAGGGGGGCCCCGGCGCCCAGGGAGCGGACAAGGGAACGGGCCCCAAACCTTCATCTTCCTCATCCACAGAGGTCGAGGGCCGCAGCCGCTTCTGGTCTCCGGACGCGGCTGCGTCTGGCGGCTCCTTCCTCTTGACCTTGAAGGAGGGCAGGCGAATGGCCCCACGCAGCCCGATGCCCAGGCCCAGGCCCTCGTAGCCCAGGCCCTCGCCCTTGCCCCAGGACTCCAACAGGCAAGAGGCAATCCGGTCCTTGGGCTTTGGCCTGTCCTCGTCCTTGTGCTCACCCGACTTCACGGGAGTCAGCGAGGCCTGGGATGGGGACAGGAAGGGACAGTCACCAGAGACACGTCGCCGCTGTCAGTCCCTGGAGGAAGCCCTCTCCATGCAGCCTGCCTTCCTCCCGGCAGTGACAGCCACCAAGGTGACTGCACCCGGCCACCTGCACCTCCGGGAGGCTCAGAGCTCCCTTGGGCCTCACGGACCCTCAGCTTCCTCACCCGCAGAGCAGGCCTCTTACCACCTTCCTTAGATGGAACAGCGGCCTCTGCACTTTGCAGCCTGGAGCCTAAGCCTACAGCGTGAGGGCCCCGCACCACTCAGCACCAGCTTCATCAACGAAGTTTCTAGTCTGTTCTGTCCCGATGCGTTAAAACAAAGCTGGAGCTGGGCTCGGTGGCTCAGTCTGTAATCCCGTGCCTTGGGAGGCTGAAGTGAGTGGATTGCCTGAGCCCACGGGTTCAAGACCCGCCTGGGCAACTTGGCGAGACCTCATCTCTACAATAAATCAAAAATGAGCCGGGCATGGTAATGTGTGCCTGTAGTTCCAGCTACTTGGAAGGCTGAGGCGGAACGATCTCCAGAGCCCAGCAGGTTGAGGCTGCGGTGGCCGGAAGCGGCCACTGCACTCCAGTCTGGGTGACAGAATGAGACTCCAACTCAAAAAAAAAAAAACAAAAAAAACCAAGCCGGGTGCGGTGGTTCACCCCTATAATCCCAGCACTTTGGGAGGTGGAGGGAAGAAGATTGCCTGAGTCCACGGGGTCCAAACCAGCGTGGGCAACTTGGCGAGATCACGTCTCTATGATAAATAAAAAAATTAGCCAGGCATGGTAGTGCGTTCCTGTAATTCTAGCTACTTGGAAGGCTGAGGCGGAAGAATCGCTCGAGCCCAGCAGGTCAAGGATGCAGTGGTTGTGAGCATGCCACTTCACTTCAGCCTGGGTGACAGAGTGAGACTCCTATTCAATAAAAAAGAAAAAAATACCCAGCGCCTCCCAGTTTTGCTTCCCTGCACACAGAGGACCTGCTCCGCAGTTCCAAAGTGTTCTGCCTTCAAAGGGGTGTTATGTAAATTAACCCAAATGAGCCACATTAGGGGCTTTGCACAGCACTCCAGGCCTGGGGGCTCTTTTGATTCAGATTATTAGTGAAATAACTGCAGGCTGCTCCTACAGAGGCAACAACACCAGGTGGAAACACAAGGCATCTCGGGTGACCTCTGAGGGTTCACTCTGACTTTACTGCCCTGTCACACAGATGAGACAGGCTCTGATACCGTCACTTCCCTGTGCTTCAGAGCAAGCTCTCAGTCACATCATGGCAGCGTTTCCCAACACATGCTCTGTGGGTACAGCAAAACTGATGACTGTGGTCACCCCTGGGGGAGGAGAACAGAGAGGACTGGGGAGCTATTGAGGGGATGGTAAAAGAATTTAAAAGGCTGGGTGTGGTGACTCACACCTGCAATCCCAGCACTCTGGGAGGCTGAGGTGGGAGAATCGCCAGGAAATTGAGACCAGCCTGCGCAAAACAGAGAGACCTTATCTCTGCAAAAAATAAAAAAATTAGCTGGGTGTGGAGGCATGTGCCTACAGTTCCAGCTACTCAGGTGGCTGAGACAGGAATCTCCTGAGCCCAGAAGGTCAAGGCTGCTGTTGTCGTGATTGTACCATTATACTCCAGCCTGGGTAAGAGAGTGAGATCCTGACTAAAAAAACAAAAACAAAAAGTATTCAAGAAAAAGTTCTCTCTTACATAGAGAGAAAGCAATTACAGATTTTTTTTCCTATGAGTTGGAGTCTCAGTCATCCTGGCTAGAATGCAGTGGCCGTGAGTGTCTCGACCTGCTGGAGTCAGGTGATCCTTCCACTTCAGCCTTCCAGGTAACTAGAATTGCACGTGCCACCACACTCAGCTAATTTTTTGATTTATTGTAGAGATGAGGTCTCACCAAGTTGCCCACGCTAGTCTCGAACCTCTGGGCTCAGGCAATTCTCTGGCCTCCACCTCTTAAAGTACTGCGATTATAGGCGTGAGCCACCGCACCTGGTCTCAGATTATTTTTAAGGTTATGCGTAGATATATGCTATAAAGGCACACATGGTCCTGCCAAGTCAAGCCATGTGAAAGGAGGCAGGAGGGAAGGCGAGAGGAGGCCAAGTTCAAGGAGCACCTTGGCCACGAAACTATCTGCCACAGTGAGCATATTCCGCTTCTGCGCCATACCAAATGGTTGCTACTAGTCACACGTGGCTACCAGGTGCTGGGAATGTGACACATGCGAATAGGGAATTTGGAATTTTACTTCACTTTATTTTTATTTATTTATTTTTTGAGTTGGCGTCTCACTCTGTCACCCAGACTGGAGGGCAGTGGCCGCTCCCGGCCACCGCAGCCTCGAACTGCTGGGCTCAGGTGATCCTTCTGCTTCAGCCTTCCAAGTAGCTGGAACTACAGGCACACACTACCACACCCGGCTCATTTTTGATTTATTGTAGAGTTGAGGGCTCACCAAGTTGCCCGGGTAGGTCTCGAACCCACGGGCTCAGGAAATCCACTCACCTTGGCCTCCCAAAATGCTGAGATCACAGGCCGAGCCACTGAGCCCAGCCTTTACTTCATTTTAATTGATTAATTTTATTTCTTTTTATTTTTGAGGCCACGTCTTACTCTGTCCAGGCTGGAGTGCAGTGGCGGGATCACAGCTTACTGCAGCCTCAACCTCCTGGGCTCAGCCTCAGCCTTCTGAGCCGCTGGGACCACAGGCAGATGTCACCATGCCCAGCTAATTATTGTTACTTTTTGTAAAGACAGGGTCTCCTTTGGGCGGCTGAGGTGAGTGGATTGCCTGAGCCCGCAGGTTCGAGACCCGCCTGGGCAACTTGGCGAGACCTCATCTCTACAATAAA